TTTTTCCTCATTGTCCTGGTTTTTAGCATCTGGCTACTTCACTACCAAGATAATGTCTTTAGCAAACAGTTTATCTGCTTCACCCTTTTGGTTTTCTTCTGCTTTTGAATTACTTCAATCAGCTCAGCTTACACCAGCTACTCACTCACAGTCTTGGGCAGTCCTGCGGCATTTGCCTACAGTTCAAACAGCTGCATTTTCCCAGTCCATCTAGGAGTGGCTGCCCTGACCCTGTGCATATCTGTGGCTCTCCTGTAACCACTGCCACAGAGACAGGCGTGTTGTAATGGAGACCAACTTTTCTACCTTTTCACCAGATGAAAAAATACTAGAAATCCTGCAGGGGCACCAGTCCTCGGGTCATCTGCCCATCTGTATGTGGCACTCTTTTCTTGGGTTTTACAGCACCTGGCTGGCCATCAGGTTTAAGTGGCACCCTCTGAGCCTTTTGCCTTCAGACAAACACAGCATGCATTTACTATATCGTCTCTAGAGCACGTTACACTATCCACCCCTAGGTCTCATCATTGCAGCAGCCAGGGGCTCTCCTTGTTTCTGCTGCTTTACTGTCTCAATTTCTTGTGCACAACAAGTCATGCCTGGAGATGCACAGTTTCCCCAGCTCACCACTGGGTTGGTCATCTTCCCTGGTGTGAAAGGCAGGAGTGGCCAGTTGCTGCACATCGTCCTCCAGGACATTTATCTGCACTTCCAACAACTCTGCTTTCTGCTGCAAATCTTGATTAGTTTGCAGTGTACTGAGCAGCAGCCAGGCTCTGGTCAGCAGAAAAGTGGTCACTGCGCACCACACACTCAAGGATTGCCACATTTCCTCCCCCTCCCAAGTGGTTTTCCATTGTAGTGCCTGGTCTATGCTGCCTTGCAATACAGTGAGCAGCAACCAGATTCCGGTCAACAGGAAGGTGGCCATAGGGCAGAGCATATTCACAAGTAGCCACATTTCCTCCTTCTTCCAAGGGCTTTTGGCTCCTGTACCTGCTCATAATCCTGTCACGGACTACACCAATTGTAGCGGTCTGCTGATGTCAGAAATCCTGTTGACATCACCAATTGTGGAGCCCCAGCTAATGTCTGGAATCCTGTTCACAGTGCCAATTGTAGCACTCTTAATCCTGTTTGTGACACCAATTGTCTAGCTCCACAACCACACCAGTTGTCAGGCTCTTTTACCTGCCAGTAATCTTGCACTGACTAGGCCAATTGTTGACCTAGGGCTGGATGTGGAGCTCCTGAAGAGAAAAATATAACTTTAACATGCGTAATTTGCTTCTGTACTAATGCTTGCTAAAAATGAGAAAACATAACTAATACCATTTTAAGTAAGGCAGCTTTTAAGGGGTTATGTACAGGCCAGGCATAGTCAAGGAGGACCCAGGCACGCTAAATTCCAGGGAGGGAGTAACCACCACCCAGTTCCGGGAACTGACCAGTTCCTCATCTAGAGGCCACCTGGCCAGACCACAAGGAAGATAAACGATTGGGAAATACACTGTTCCTTATCGGGGTGCCAGCCTGCTAAAGCCCACCAATAAATCAAAAGGTCACCTCAGATAACCCATAAGCAGTATACAACTCATCCTGTTGCAAAAGTCTGTCTAAAAAACTGTATAAAAAGCTCCTGTGTTAAGGGCTCAGGGTCACTCCTGTCCAGGAGACTGAGTGACCCCAGCATGCTGGAATAAACTCTTCTTGCCTGATTGCAACGGTCTCTGTCTCGTGGTCTTTGGGAAGTGAGCCATCCCGAGGTGTGGGATTTGTGCACGGTGCACAGGTCTTACACTCCTAGACCCCTCAAGCCGATTCAAAGTCTGGGTCACAAACCCTTCATATGCCAGGCTGGGTCACCAGATCCCTTCACGCAGATCTATGAGCTAGGTAACCAGTTAAAAGGTCCTTGGAAGCTTAGGTTGGAAAGCATGGCTACGCCAGGCAGATGCCTGAGGCAGAGGCAAGCCCGAGGCAGAGGCCCGCTCACCTGCTTCACTAAAACTCTCCCTCTCTCCCTCTCTCTCTTTCTCTCTCTCTGAAGAACACAAGAACAGCAGAAAAACTAAAAAGACACATTGGTGCATATGTGCACTAACTACACACACACACACACACACACACAATTTGCTTACAAAGGATGTGCTAAAACCACACCCAACTGGACCCAAGGCGAGGTCCCTGACCAAACTATTCCATTTTCCCAACATCCCAGTACTGTTCAACTGCAAAAAAAAAAAAAAAAAGAAAATCTTGGTTTTTAGGGGGTTGGGCAGGCAACCGGACTTGGGTTCAGTAACCACAGGGAAATAATTCGAGATGATAGCTGCTAGTTTTGTTCAGCATCTCATAAAATTTTCATGAACAGTTCAAGCATGGTTGTTGAAAATAACTAAATTAGGCATAAACATTTACACATAAACTCTTCATAGTTTCAAAAATCCTTATTGGTGGGCCAGCCCGGTGGCGCACTGCTACAGTGCGCTGCTTGGGAAGTGTGGCAGCGCTCCCGCTGAGGGTTCGGATCCCACATACAGACCGGCTGCTCACTGGCT